CCCTCCGCCTATTCCTTTCATCCACCCAAGTAGTTCTTTGACAAAGTAACTCCTTGGGTGGATGAAGGAAGGGAATGCTGCAGATATAGGGCATTTAGACGTCGGCATGTTTTGTTGACAAAGTCCCACATGACCTTCTCATAAACATTGCAGAAATGTGGGCTAGATAAAATTACTATCAGGTGAATAGATTACTGGCTCAGTAGCTGCAAGAAAAGGATCATTGTTAATGGGTCCATGTTGGAATAGCAGGAGGTTTTTGAGTGGAATCCCAGAGAGGTCTGTCTTGGGCTTGGTGCTGTTCATTGTTTTTATTAATGATTTGGATGCTGGCATAGAAAGCTTTTTGAGCAAGTTTGCAGCTGACACTACTGGGAAGGAGCGTGAACATATTGGAGGATGCAATTCGGAAGGATCTTGGCAGATTGGCAAGTTGAGCTAGAGCAGGCAAGGACAATTATTTTGGGCACGGGGCTGCTTACCAAGTTTTGGCAAACTGTTGAGGACCGCATAAGTAGCCCTGCCCCTTGACAGGTGCCCTACCCCCCTGGTCACCATCTTGGGGCCAGAAGTCCCACCCCTAATCTCTGACCTTTGCCCCTGGAAGTACTCCTTTGGTGAAGAGCATTTGCCATCTTAGGGGGGGAAAAATACAAATTTACATACTAAAAATCAAACACCATAATAATACATTTTAATTTAAATTAAAAAAAATATTTTTGTTTTGATTTGTGGTGTATATGCAGAAGTGATTGTACATAGGGTTTGGGTATGGATGTGGGTATGGAAGTCGTGTAGTGCAGAGTAGACGGGCAGGAAAGTGGGGGGAGTGGAAGTGAGCGGGAGTGTGGGCCCTGTGCCCAGTAGGAGTGTAGGGTGTGGTCTGGTAGGGGTCTGTGGAACTGGGCTGAGCTGTGCCAGCAGGGAGAGGAGGGAGCAGACCTGGCTCCATAGAGCCCCTGCTGGCCGGGACCCCATGCTCCTGCCGCCCTGCTCTGGGTCCTGCCAGCACTGGCCCCAGGACACCGGCATGGGCCCCATGCTCCCGCCCAGCTGCTGCTGGCTCCTGCTAACTCCTAGTGCCCCCGTGCCAGTCCCATGGTACAGGTGGGGAGCAGTGCGCAGCCCCAACCCTGCGCTTGCCTGCAGGGAATGAGCTGGTGCTCACCATGGGGGGGAAAAAGCACCTGGCCCCCCCTTGGGGCTAGAGCTAACAGGATGAAATTCATTGTGTACAAATGCAAGGTGCTACACCTTGGCAAAAATAGTGAAAAACCCAAATATGAAATGGGGGACATCAGGCTGGATGGTAGCAGTGTGGAAAAGGCCTTGAGAGTCTTGGTAGATCACAGACTAAATAGGAGTCTACAGTGTGGTGCAGCCACAGAAAAGGTGAATGCAGTTGTGGGATGCATTTACATGCAAGACATGGGAGGCGAATAGTGCCTCTCTACTCAGCACGGGTTAAGCCTCATTTGGAGTATTGCGTGCAGTTCTGGGCTCCACATCTTAAAAAGGACGTGGAGAAGTTAGAGAGGGTCCAGAGGCAGGCAACAGAGATGATCAGGGGGCTTGGAAGGCGCATCTCATGAGGAGAGGCTGAAGGAACTAAGCATGCTTAGTATGTGGAAAATACGCTTATGAGGGAATATGATTAGCAGCCTTCAAAAACTGGAAGGGCTACTATAAAGAAAGAGAGCATGTTTTTCTCTCTTGCTGCAGAGAGGAGGATGTGGACTAATGGCTTGAAGCTGCAGCAAATAAGTTTTTAGATTGGATATCTGGAAAAACGTCTTCAGTGTTAGAATAATGAGGCAGTGGAATAAGCTGCCCAGGGAAGTTGTGAACTCTGTCTCTGGAGGTGTTGAAGAGGAGGTTGGACGGCCACTGGTTGGGGATGATCTATGTGTAGCTATGCCTGTGTTCTACAGTGGGTATTTTTGGAGGCATTGACTTTCTTTCCTTCTTTCAGATTCATCGAAGTAAGAACAAATGGAAGTTCTACTTGAAAGATGGAATAATGTGCTTTGGGGGTAAAGACTATGTCTTTGCAAAAGCCATTGGAGATGCAGAATGGTAAAATCTCACTGGAACACATGAGGCATAATTTTCTTTATTATAAAATGTTATGTGATCTTCTGTGAGGAGATACTAAACTTGCATTGTTTTTGCGGTTGAAAACAAAACTGCATTTGTTGAATAAAATACCAGAGGTCTAATGTTTGTTTTGTGTTGCTAATACATGCAGATTGACTATGTTCAATGTTCTGTTGCCTCTGCTGTGTTGTTTTCTCATCATTTCTTTATGCTTCTTTCTGGTGGAGACGTAATCCGAATGAATAGCTTTAATTAAAAACCAAAGTTTTGGATATACTAGTAACTTAAAGAAGACTCATGCAATAAACTTTAAGTTACTAATAGACTTTTAAGTATCTTCAAGTTTTATCTTTCTGTTGTGGGTTAAAGTCTAATGTATTTAGTATAATGCATTTAAAAACAAGGCTGCTATGCTCCAAACTAATACTAGCTAACATCTGTAAAAGATTTTAAGAGATGCTGCCATGTTTTTGTTGTGATTTTATTTTTAATTTGCATCTGAAATGCAAGGATGTTCTGTTGGGCTGGAGGTAGGATGCAATCTAGACTGCTTGGTTAGAAGGCCCTGGAGTTGACCAAACTTGAACTGTCATCAATTCACACGCTGCTATGGAAAAGACTCCCAACGTATGCTGAAGTTTATTGCATAGGTTAATTTTATAAGGAAAGTAAGTTATTGTTAATCTTTAACTAAGTCATATGACTTCTGTACATACTCCATTACATTTTGAACATGCCAGTAAACTGAGTGATACAAATTGACTGCGCCTAAGGGTGGGAGATAAAAATGCCATCTCATTCACGTTTCTAGCAATGATTTTTTTTTTTCTTTTCTGTTCTTGAATGTGACGCATATTTCAGGAAATGTACACAAGCCACATATGAATTGGTGATAAAACCCACCAGCTGAGGAAGACTTGTATCCCTCTCCCAAAAACACTCCAGGTCCTTTGCTTAAGACTGTCCTTCAGTCAGTGATTCACGGGGGTACTCTTACCCTAGCCATCCTCAGATGAAGCTTTCTTTTGGCCAACTCCTGTTCCATGTATGTGTTTATCCCGTGGGCTTTCTGCCTAACAGGCATGGAGAGTGTGCCTTCCAAGATCTTGTGGTGGAACTTTCCTGTCTATTATGTGGATAGCCATTTGTTAGTCATATGCGTGCTTTCAGTCAGTTCTAGCTACGTTGCTTTTCAAGGGTTATAAACGTATATATCCCAATGCCTTCTTTCATTGTCTAAGCAAACCTTTACTATCTTGCTTGAGGTGACTTGTATCTGTGGAGCCTTGTGCTAAGTTTTTTCTGAGGTTGGTGCATGGGTAGGTGTGCATGTATCCATAAGGATGGCTCGTCTAGGTAGACTCAAGTACTCCTAATTGCCTTGTGAGTATTCCATCTATTACTGTATGGAGTTTCCTTCTACTTTATGTACATTAACATCTTAAGTTCAATAAACTCAAGTACAGGGAGTAGTTTTGCTCTTGTTTTGTGGACATTATTCAAAAGGGGAATCATAATAGAATAGAGGAGTATAGGGCACTATGGTAGCTTGCCATACGTTGTCTTGTGGAGAAGGGGAAAGATTCTGTTATCCAAATCGGGAAACCGTACAGGCACCATTGAAGACACCACTGTGTATGGCAGAATCTCCAGCCTTGGATAGGAAACAAAGGGGCTGAGAAGCTATACAGGTTTGAGAGAATGAAAATACTAACCTCTGAGAGAAGTAGGAGATGGAATTGAAGTCAGTTGCAAGATTGTAAGCATCTTAATGTTCAAACTCCTGAACTGATTCTAGTACAGGCTTCTAAAATGGTGTGTTTTATGGAGGTTTTTTCTTTTACTTTTTGACAACAACAAGCAGCACCCTAGTATTTAGTTCACAAACTAGAGATCACTCAGGACCTTGTAAGAAGGAAATTACAGCAAACTTGATTTTGGTCAATGTTACCTCTAACTCAAGGATTTTTAGCTACAGGAATTTTTCTTCTCAATGTGCTCAGTCAAGAAATTGCCATTCAGAACACAGTCTGGAGTAGTCTGACCAGTTATCTTTGCTATCTAGTATGTTTCTTTTTCTCTGAGCAAGTTGCTGTTGCAATGTTTTTGACCTCTTATCTTTGATTATAGCAAACAGATTGTAGGTAGGGCTGTGGTAGGGAGAAGTAAATAATAGCAGATGTATCAATAATTGATTCATCCCAGTACATGTACTTGTTTTTAGTTCTGTCTTTGCTGTAGATACATACAATAGTATTGGAAATGAGCATGTCAGCATTTTAGCATAAAGAAGGAAAGTTTACTAAAACAAATGGAATAATAAGCAACTTGAATGGGAATTTTTAGCATTAATATAAATACCTTTTAAAGATTGTTTTAATTTGCATGCTTTTTATGTATAACAAACCTGGTGTGAATTTTTTACTAGCAGTCATTTCCCAAGGGACATACTTCATGGTAGGTACTGAAAAAATGATTTGGACAATTCTGATGCTTGCACATAATGATATACTACATTGTGTGGATTTCTTTTCTTTTTAGGGTAGTTCTGTAAGCTGGTACCATCAGGTTTTCTATATCACTCTTCCCACTGTTTAAAATTCCCTGGTACAATGACTATCTGATGGACAATAAGCACAAGTGTTCCTGTAAACTAAGAAATTAATTGATATATCCCCATCAATAGGTAGTATAAAGTGCAAGTTCAAATAATCAGTTACAGCATGTGAGCTTGAGACTTATTTTGGCATGTAACAGGTCTTATGCAGATTTCCCTGGTCTAACACAGATGCATAGCACTTGCATTTGGAATTTAAAGACAGTTAAGTTTCAGAAATGTATCACTAATCAACAGGGTCCATTACCAATTTCTGTCTAAAATTGTTCCAGTTCCTCAACGCATCAAGAAATACATCAGGTGGCAATACTGACTTGGCTGTTAAACAAATGGTCTTTCAACTTTTGTTCACACTATGCTATCACTTTTTCATTCTCAAACCACACTTGACATGCTCATGGATATTGTTATGCCTGTTTATGAAAACTTTTTCCAAGTACAAAGATGGCCTAGAGCCCAAGCTATGAAAACTCAGAAGTGTTAATTAGAACTCATAAAACATTAAAAATGCCAAAATGTTATCATTTAACTCAAAGTAAAGCAAGAATCTGCTGTGTCATTCACTGGCAGTGAAAAGTGTTCGTTAGAACTGGAGCATTTACTTTTATAATGACAATCATTATAAGGTTTGGACTGAGGAGGAAAATAATAGATTTTGTCATTTCAATAAAATACCATCTCTCTTTCTCTTGTGTGTTTTAAAAGAATCATGTGTCTGTAACTATTTTTGGACCCCATGGAATGACTTCTCACTGGAAGGTCCAGCCTAGTGTACTTTAGAAGTCTGGCTGTTGTGTTGAAAGTTATGTGAGAACAGAAAACAACACACTTCATTCCCAAATGAAAAAAGCACTTGAAGGTCCCTGACAGACCTTAAAATAAACATGTGATGGGATCCCAACAATCCAACTTTCTGTTGTGCTTCTGCTGTGCCACACAGGCAGGGTAGGGAGTATGAAGGTAGGATCTGGCATCAGATCCCATTGTGCCATATTGCTGGTGCAGGGGAAGCATGATTCTGGACTCCCCCTGCTTCCCTGGGCTGGGAGCTCCAATCAAGTGAGGGGTGCTTCTAGCCTCTGGAGCACAGAGAAGTCTTGAAAGGCTCCTGTGTGCTCCAGAGGCTGGGGACTGGCACATGTTAAATTAATGGCATGATGGGAACAAACCACAAAGTTATTACACGTTTTGCTTGTGGCTTTTTTTCCTTGTTTTATCATGCCATTAACTGAATTGAACATGTGGCCAGGTCACTACTTAAGATACCATTAACTGGTTAATCACATCTTAAGTGTAACATGTCAGGGGCCTCTGGGGCCTAATAAATATATTAATTACTATGACCCATATGCTTGTAATGTTTAAGTCTTGAACTACTTATTTCTTTTAATGCTTAGTTCTGAACATTGGTCTTATAAGGCAGTTGTAAACCTAGAAGTAAGTCTATCAAGGACAAGCTACCTTGACATAGTTGGAATAGTATCTAGAGCTTTTATATCCCTTCCTAAATGCAAGACTGTGAGGGTGGTTAGGCATTGCTAACCAATTCCTAATATACAAGGGCCTCAGTCTATCAGACCAATCAATACTTCTTGGAGCGTAACTCTGGGAAAGCAGGTCAACAGATCACATCCATGCATTCTCTGCATCCCTGTCAGATTTGGAGTGGAAGTGAGATAGCTACAAGGTGTGCAGATCCTGTGATCAGATGATACTCAGGCTAGAGATCTTGGCCTACAAGAGGCTACTATGGAAGTACATTCCCATGTTTGATCTTCTGTGCTTATGGGAAACTAACTGTGCAAAGGTAATGGATTACTTGGCACAAAACTTGGGAATGTATTACATGGACTAAGGAGGCAAAAATAATTTTACTATAAAAATATAATCTAGGACAAGAGACCACTCTGCCTGATGAGCTGGAAACTGGACAGGAATCCCTGAGAGGGAGCCACGAGTGGATTCCAAATTCTATAGGCACTGGTGACGGGAGAAAGTGGTAGATAAAAATAATACACAACCACAACTCTTAGCTCATTACGCAATGGTTATTCTGCTGTTACGAGATCTCCAAACATTAAATTATGCATAAATATTACATGGTACAGTTCTGCCTTGAAAAGTGCTTGTCCAAATGGCTCTAAGTTTCTGTGACCAGTATGTCTCCATGATTTCCAGGTCCAACAATATTTGGTATTCTATTCTTTTCTTTTTTGAAGTAATGGCCATTCCTGGAAACTTAGGATGTTGCTTAACTTTGCACCATGTTAACTTGTGGCAAATCCAGAGGTCACATTCTGTCCCCAGTGACCTCTGTATAGCCCTGCCACTTTTAAGTGGCTTAGTAGGTGTAATTGGTTGTATAACTGGAATTTTCTCGTGATAAAGCTCAAGGTCCTATTAAATCTAGCGCCCTTCCTCCTAGCTTGGCAGCACTAATGCAACTAACAGGAATAACATATATTTTTTGCCACTGAGCTCCACAGAACAGGCTTTAAAGCCCATGGGAAATGGATCTGAGGAGTAAGGTGCCAATTTTACAATCACTTCTTTGAGGAGAACTGCCCATTAACTTGAGCTTTTCAGAATCCCAGAAAATTATGGCAAGTGTCAAACTGCCTGTAGGCCCAATAAGAAAAGGTTTTGCCTAATAATTGCCTTGCTTTCCACCATTACTACTGTATATAATGAAAATACATTTCATAATTTCAGAACAATTATCTTGTATAAGAATTATTGGCCTTATTATGGCACAGTGTTCAAAGTGCCATAAATGGAACCCTAAATCCCTGGGCTCAGTAGTAAAAGGACAGTTTATCAAATTGTACTGCACATAACAGAGCTGAAATTTAATTCTCTTTACAGGATGTCTGGTCACATAAGTTTGTTAAATGAAGCAGCATGTGCGAGGTTTTGTTTGGGTTGTGGGATAAACTGCCATTTTTGCAGAAGGAAGTATATGCAGCAGAATAGTTCACTTGGTAAAGCTCAGCTTAATTCTTGCAGCACCCCAGCTTGGTCATCAGGAGAAAAAAATCCCTTTGAAAAGCTTTGGTTAAAATGGCGCACAGGAATTGACTGCATAAAACAATGAGCAAAATTTTAGGGTTGGTCACTACGATGAGAGGTACTTTACAGGCAGCTGATATGGCAAAAAATGAGATGGATGCCATGCAGGTAAAATCAGTGAAGATCAATACTGCCATTTTCTTGGCAATCTTGGTATCTTTGTTAGGAGCTGCCAGCTCTGGATTTTGAACTGCTATGTAAATGTTAATATAACAAGCACAAATGACTATCAAGGCAAGAATATTTAACACTAAAA